GAATGTGGTTATATCTAACTCATTTGGCATGATTACACACACATATTCTTGAAGTATTTAATATGCCGAGGCATATAATTAAAGCTTTTGAAAAACCTATTCGATCAAAGGTTAGAGATGCACAATATGATTATTTTAGTGAACATCTGTTGATAATAGGTACAAGAATGACCTTATATGCCCATGTGTTTAATTATCAATATCTGAATTTATCATTAATTCTGTTGACAATTTAAATATTATTGAAACTCGTGAAGGGCTTCCAAAAGCAATTGATTCCATTAGAAGGAATTCATGATAAAGCACCTAAAAAGAATTCATTTGAAAAAAAAAATGACATATTTATTTAATTCCATATTGTTATTTGTTCATTTGAAGTAAAAGGAGGACAATTTTTTTTGTTCTCAATATAATAATAAATAACTTATTTCTAAAGTACCATATTTGCTTATAATTCACGATTTATGACTGACGATTGTAAGTGATATTCTTTAAATCCAATCGATTTAGATTGTAAACACTTTTAATATGTTTAAGGCATTTATTTTTTGCAAGATCTATTATTTATTTAAATTAATATTCTGATAAATAATATTAAATAATAGAGTCCGAAAATTCAAGTTTAAGTGATTTGTTAATCACGAGGAGTTGTGATTGTGAAATAAAAATTACATATGATTGGATATTGAATAATCCATGATCGTAAGTAATAACGAGATACGGATATCGTTATTACGGATAGACCATCATCTGTGACATTTCTTACTTTTGAAGTAAGTAGTTGATCTCACGAGTTAAAGTGTGGTGACACTTAAATGAACGCATGAATGTTTTGTTATAGAACGAAACATTAGAGACTCGCTAAAAGATTCCACATGGATAACTATGTGAGTGTCAGTAGTTAATCTCTAATGTTCGGTGGTGGAATTGGTCACTTGACTTGAGGTCGTCATAGTGCCTTGTATGAGGACAGTCATGCTTTGACGGTGTTGGATATTGTTCTGCCAAGGGCCGCTAATACGGCATTGTTCGAGTATGTCAAGAATTATATGAAAATTGTGAATAACCAATTGAGAATTCGTCACTCTTAGATAGTAAGAGATTGTGATCTGCATTTCGTTTAATTAAGTCAATAATGAAATCCTTAGCCAAGGTATACTCATAAATCGAAAAGGAGTTTTCGATTCACGTTGACTTAATAATAGAATGAAAGATGTGATCGATAATCGAGATTAACACACTTCCATATCTCGTAATTGATCGGATCATATTGACGAAAGAATTATAGTTTTATGGTAAACGAACAAGTTTGGTTTTGTCATACCACGTGACATTTTTCGTCACATGTGTTGCCCTGATACATTGTTAGATGTCAATCTGGGACGGCGAGTGTGAAGTGATGATAAATTAAAATAGTGTTTTAATTTATCAATTTTGATTAGATCAAAATAATATTTCACGTCGTTAGGCATCGTGATTGGAAACCTAATGAATCGCACACAAAAGAGAATTGGAAAATTGCAATTTCTCAATTAATTAATTTAATAATCGTTGGATAAATTAATTAATTGGGTCGGTTATATATAGGCCTCAATTAATTGGATTAATTAATACATGGATGGAATTTAATTAAATAGATTAATTAAATATTGAACCTGATCAAGTCAAGCCCGCTTGAACTTATATAAATACATGGTTAGAGTTTTCAATATGTAGAGAATCTCATAATTCTTGCTAACACAATAGGAGAAACCCATGGTGCCTACAATCCATTCTTTGTGTGGAATTTATTGAAAGCTGGACAATTGGACAGTTGTGGGAAGCAGATCCAAGTTGTTGGAACAAAAATAACCCAAATGAGTTTACAGATCTAAGAAAAAGTATAACTTTTATCACAGTTCATATCTAAATATAAAGCTGAATTCTTGTGAAAATTGAAATTGTTATTATTTTCGCTACGCATATTTAAGTAAATTCCTAACAATGATAATGATGATACGTGATATTATTTGATCCACATAAAGCTTATCAATCAATCAATTTACATATAACTATCATGAAGAGTTATGTGAATGGCATATTCAAAAAAGTATTATCTTTTATAACTCTTGAAAAGTGAGTAAACAAAGCTCTCAGTTGACCCTCATTATTTCACATTATAATTTTTCTCACTTATTTTCAACCACGCAATCTTTATAAAATAATATTATACATAAATCGAAAAAAAAAATTCCTTCTATTTCAACCATAATTCTTAAAAAAAAATAATAAATAAATAAATAAATAAATATA